CACTGCGGCCGTCTTCGAGGTGAGTGCTTTAATCGTTAACAGTGATACGCATGGGTAGACCTCTCATTCATTGTTAATGATGTGTATCCATTCTCGCCGTGAAAACATGTAACATGATAATACTCACATGGAGTTTAGAAATCCTAATGTAAGGAATTACATTAGGTTGAGTTGAGTTTACTGCGAGTTTTCCTCACACATGCAGCCTGAATCTAGAGCTAATTTGTGAAGCTTGGGTGCCATCATATGATGCGTAAAATTTCATCCCGCCTTCTTCGCCACATGACACTGCTGGCTGGTTAAAAGCTTCAGCCTAGGGGTACGGGATGGTCCAGGGAACGGGGAATTATCGCGTCCGGGTCCCTGTGGCTGGCGGATCCTTTTACCATACGATTTCCACTTGTCAGTGTACGGAGGCTACACATACCATTCTACGGCACATGAGAACATTAACACGGTGACAGATTGCACCACTAATCTAAGCTTAGGTTATCAGAGGACAAAATCTTGCAATTTTAAAATCGTTAACTATCACACACTGCTCTAGATCAGCTCCAGGCAATTTCCCCTCCAGAATCGTGACAATGAACATATCTGACGAGCAGTTAGATCTCCCTTGAACACACACAGATACATGTATATATATATAAGGCTCAACGAAATAGTTTTCTGATTGTGCGTTAGAATAGCTATATATAATGTGACAGGCATAAAGATTTGAACAAAAAATTAATAGTGCAACTGTATCAATCATTTATTCTTTGTTGTTAGCTTATGATTAAATGTGTATTTTAAGTGCAACTCCCGTCCGTAACTTGCCCTTTTGCGTCTGTCGCACTATCGAGTTGCATTTTATGACATTTAAATATGTCGCAATACTCACAATTCAAATTAAGTTGAATTTATTGACTTTATCTTTCGGTTCGTTTATTTGTTTGATTTTTTTTCTATTGTTTCATCCAAAACCGCGCACTTTATGAGTTCACTGTGCACTGGCTGTCAATTCGATCATTCTATTCTATCCGACGCTAGATAATTTAATAGACGGTCGTGCGCGGTTACATTAAATCAAGTTCACCCTCGATCTCGATAATTCGAAACTCACCTATAATGACTTTTCAGTATATTTAAATGAAAAGCCTCGGGCTAAATGACCCAAATCATCATAAACCTGACATTTTAAAAGTAATTCCAAGCCTATGCAAAATACACACATCTTAGTTTTTGTTCATTGTTAGATTATCAGATAAGCAATACTTGCCTTTTCACGCTTCGACAATTTTATCTCAATTGTCAGGAACATATGTGAAGTTTTGTAATAGTTGCATAACGTGCTTATCAAAATCACTCGTAGTTTTTGCACTGTGAATTGACATCCAAATTTAAACCCGTCTTTTGTATTGCGCTTATCATTTGTATGATGCCTTGATAGGATTGCATGGGATGAGATTGCAATGCCTGGTTGTATAGTGGATGCCAGATAGAACACAGGATCCTGCCATTGCAATGCCTCTATCCGTAATTTGGAGTTTCATTACGTCCCTTCCTATATAACGTGACTGCTTCGAGGCACATTATCACCATCTATCATGCCCGATGGAACTTATACAAGTTCAGTCCCGTATCTTGTCTTCTTCTTTCGAATGTTTTTTTTCTCTCTATCATGCAATGGTCTCAGAAAGGACTTGAGATGGTGCTGTGTGCATGTTTAACAGCATCAGAGAACAAGTATCGCATCGTGTACATTATGCCTTCGGGATTTTGTTTTCGTTGTGTCGACAAAATGTTAGGTATCGACACAATTAGGTATCTCGTTTTGTTTTCCCATTTTGACCGTTTCATTTTGTCTTAAAATTGCACACTGAGAAATTTGTATGGCTTTATCTTAGTGAAAATCTCAAGGCAATCTTCACAATTCATATAATTTGATATTTTTTGTCAATATACAAATATAACATGGTTTGAGAGTGGACAGTCGATATTCGCTCCCATAGGTATTGAAAGTTGACAAACTAGTTCCCGAGGCGAAATAAACCATGTTATATTTGTTGTACTATGCCTCATACATATGCAGCGCCGATATGTTTGTTTTTTCGTTGCAGTATGCACCTCAAAAACGTTTTTTTGAAAAACTTGTCCAGTTCACCACTAGAATCGTATTGCTCAAATTCACTATATAGTTCAGTACGTTTACAATGCAGTGCAGCTGTAAATACAGTGTGTACAACATTCTTTTGTACAGGATGCATCTCTTTTGTCCATAAATATTCTCTAGTTTGGCATCATTGAGCTCGGGAAATAACGTGCCGTGCAACCATCTCTTCGTAAGTGTGTAGCTCGTTTGGGCGATGTTCGCGCGTGCGTACTACACCCGTGCGACAGTTCCACGATTGCTTTGTAAAGCGCATGCGTAGTAGACTGCCGCACCGGTAACCCGTGCGACAATCTAGTACGCATGCGTATTTACCCTGTGCGTGAATTGACCAGTGAGAGTTCGGCTCTCGATCATGAATATGTATGAGGTATAGTAATAGGGATTGTTATTCAAGTTCAAATAAGAACACAGCAAATAATTGGCGTGTATTGCATCGGCGAAGAAGTAAGTTAAATTTTGCATTGAAAGATTTTTATGAACACGCCCGATTGTTTTTTTCGTTTTCTCCAGGTCTATCAATACAAAAAAGTTAGCAGGCTCTATAATAAAAGGTATTAATCATGCCATAAAAATTAAATTATTAGATTTTCCTTTTTCAATTTCAAAGATGTTATTTTACCTCGTTATTTTTTGCCAAAAAAATAATAGAACATGAGGGATGATGCTTTTATATACTGCACTTACCCTTTAATCAAAAATAGGAAGCCATCCCATCCATAACAAGACATTTCATGTCTCGATTCGTCTTTTATCATTTCCGTTTTCCATTGCAAATCTGATGCTGTCGATCGGCACGACCTTTATGAGAAACGAAAACAGTTTGTTTACCATAAACAATACTGCTACAATATTATTAGTTTATGCGCTCGAAGGTGCAATTTACTCAAGTAGCTAAAGCATGGTATACGTTTATCCGGCGCTCCATTCCGCAATGTGCCAACATCTTTATTTTGATAACTGATTTGGTTTATTATCAAAACGCACATCGCCAAGGACACAACGGGTTTTCATCGATCATTTAACACGCGTACTGTACAATGACCGTTTAGAAAGGGATCGAGGAGGGGAGAAGCCTCTTTATAGGTCTATACCAAAAAAAGAAATCTCAGTTATTGGGAGTCGTCGTTTATTCGGTAGCAGTTTCTTAATTGCAATTATCTTGGATATAATATCTCAATGTGATTTGGCTATTGCTTTCGGTAACTTAACAAATACAGTTGAATCTTCTTGGCACAAGGTTTTTGTTTTCAGTAAATTGTTGGTTTATACAGTGTCCTGATCCTTGATACGGTCGTAAAGGAGTACATTTATTTCCCAAAGCAAGTTTGTATAATGCAGTTTTTCTTGCTACTTGTGGAGTTCATATAAGTTATTTTGCTGTTGATGTTGCAATAACTAATAATAATGTTTGTGCTTACTCTGCTGCTGATACTTGCCTTGCATCTGCAAGTAAATGGTAGTATAGTACATGGTGCTGCAACTGCTGCTACTTGCTGTTTCAAGTTTGTTGCTATTGTTTTTGACATTTTTTGACACTGGTCAAATGTTGTGTTCTTCGTGTATTACTATGCACGACAATATTTACCAACAACAAATCGTGCGTTTTATAAACAGTAATTAATGAATTCACTGACCGTCATTTTCTCTATAGTATACATTTGCAATTGATAACTAGGAAAGTAAGACACTCAGAGTAGGCCCTACTGTCGTTAAAATACCTGTTTCAAACGTAATCAGTCACTCTTTTGTTTTGAAATATGAATTCACTTTATATACATACATTAGGTCTAGTTGTTACTTAACCGACCAGCTGCCTCTTTCTCGTGTTCAAGTACTGGAAAAACCTCGAAAGCTAAACAAAACAAAAGGTTATCAAGTATTGATATCTGTACTGATTGTCTGCACTGTGCGTTATTAAAATAGAAAACTACACCCCAAATGTAATCTACAAAAGAGTTTTAGAAACTGTTCATTTAGAGTTTACTTAACTTTATCAATTCAAAGTGAAGCAAACATCGGTACACCTGTTTTGATTTCCGATCCGTTTGGAATATATCTAAGGCGGGGGTGACTAAGACACACGAAATCCCCAACTCACGACACCATGGAGACATATTTAGTAATGATTTCCAGAGCGCCATTCATTCTATTTCTTAATTTAAAACCCTGTGCTTTTGGCTTGGCATGCTCCGTCTCCAAATTCAATTTCAACTTTATGTACACATATCCCTTTAGCTTGCTACAAGGCATGTAGCACATAAAAGGTATCCATTTTAATTGCATACCAATATGTGTGCCCACGTTTAAAACGAGTGAAGAATGCGCAGCTGGCCTAAAATGGAAAGATTTTATTCGTTTTTTAAAATGTTGAAATCAGGTCAAAGGAAAAAGATATTTGATGTCAGCTGCGTTCTATAAATGGCAGCTTTTGATCGATGTTAAACGGGTTGTATAGATTTTACAAAAGTATCACCCTTGCGCAAAGTGCACTCCGATAATAAAAAAAAATCCCCTTTTCTATAGATGAGTGCCGCGGAGCGGACTGTACGAAAAGGAAGGGGAAATTGAAGAAGTGCCTTTAAAAAAAATAAAACTTGCAATAAAAATGATTGTTTCTTTTACACCATTATTTGAGGATAATCGTTTTCTATTATTTTTCTTTTCATTTTATTTTACAATTCTTTAACAGAAGCGGTTAGTCTTACCATTTGAGCCGCGCAATGCCTTACACCTCACGTAAAGGTATTAACCACGGAGTCCGACATTCAATTCTCAACATGAAGAAGAAAACAGCCTTTGGCAACAAACTGATGTTTTTTTTACGTATTCCCTTCAAACATTCCAGGTTTGCTGACCAACCTCACGTGAAACTGATTTCCTGTGCCAGAAATGTTCCATCAAATCATCCTCCCTGGATGAAGGAGAGCTCGATGCATGGTTATCGTCAAGTTTGGTAACTTCTGGCAAAAACATGACTGCAAAAAATGTGAGTACATTTTCTCTATTTGAACTCGAAAGCATTACTACTTTTGCCCACGAATGTGCATGTAGCAAATTATTGGCATCCTCCCATTGGTAACGACCCGTTGTATTGAAGGTCGAGTCTATAACGTCAATATTTCAAATTATGTCAAATATATGTTTACATTCCTAATTCTGTCCAAACTGAAATCAATCGTAATATGAAGCGTTTATTAATTTGCTGAAGGACTTCACTGAAGTTAGTTTCGCATCGCAAATAAAAAAATAATAATTGCATTGTAATTAATCGAACGGGTAAATATTCCTAATTAATGCTTCACAAGGACATGGGTGCTTTGGCCATGTGTCACTTGTCATGACTCGCGCTAATACAAATCAGCTACGTTCGGTACCTTCGCGAAACTTCCAAAGAGATTTACATAGGTTTTAAAATATTTACGGCTATGTCAGCTCCTTGTGTCATCCCCTCATTCCTTGCTGACACCTTGAGTATCAAATGGCGTCTTTTCAAATTAATTTTGATACGCAGAAGATTTCCTGAAGATGGCAAGAGTTAAAAGGACGTCTTAAGGTGTCGAAAGTTATGCCTTCGTCGAGGGCATTAACACTCACATGTTTTGAATTAACTGTAAGCCAATGTGACATGACAAGGACTTCTTAATCATAGTTAGTCTCTTTCCAGCCTATAGAAGTCAGCCTGTGGGGACATAAAGTCATGTGAGTTATGTGTTATGGGTTTATAGGAGAAGGTTTTACTCATGGCGCCCGCTATATACCTATACGCTAAGCAGAAAATATGGCGTATCCAGTTCAAAAGCAACGTGCATTACATGAAAATATTGGCTCTTAGGCCTATCCTAATGGTTTTTCTCATTGCTAAAACTGGTTTGCACTATAAGCAATATATTCGATGAGATACGAGTATTTTAATGTCCAAACAGGCAAAGTACTCAAAAGTGTGTTGCTTTCGAGGGTAGCCCTATTTATGGTATGAGTGCAGATGAGTAACAAATGTAAAACTGAATCAAATCCTTATCGGCATGGACTGTATACAGGGCCTACGCGTCAGACCTGGCAGACGCAGTTGTCCCCATAGTTGACAAATTCACTCATTGTTTCAAGTTTGAGGTATCTTATGACTTGACATTGTACTCGAGAAATTGTTGACGCAAACTCTCAAACACGTGCCATGAACTTTTTACCCCTTCAGGTGAAAAAAAAATACCGCGAACCCCAACGCAAAGGGAAAAATCATTAATTACGTTGTTTCTTTGGAATTAATTCTTGCCGTCAGTTTGACTGTCTTTCTCTCTCTAATTGATCGTCCCTAATGGCTTGTCTGTCAATCCAAGCGTTGCACCTGCTAAAAATTGGTGAATTTTTCTCCATTCCGGCCGGCCCACTTCAAACTACATTCTCCATCCGAAGGGAAACCTTTTCTCGGCAGAGCATGTTGGTGTGTACGCTGCATCATTAGTGTCACTGCTTTCACTGCGTCAGCCAATGAAGTCGTGGGTTGATGCGTGCATGTGACAGCCAGCATACCACTGTGACAGCCAGCAGCATAGCACAGTGCGCTGTGGGCGGTAGCCTTATGTGCGGTCCCGAGTATAAAAGAGCAAGCACTGTGTCTAACGATAGGCTTTGCACGTATAGGTATCAACGGGATATTACATATATTTTTTCCCCTGGCATTGGGGGAAAGTGCGCATCGTGTACAATTTGCGCGGTGCCTGACCACTTCCGACTTTGCATCAAGTGAGTTTTGAACGAATTCATAGGATTGCCAGCCAGTCGCACCTTCATTCTCATCGCTGCTTGAAGTTTTAACTGCTGGCGTAATATCGGTGAGTATAACTTGGAAATATGTTCGGTAGCAACTTTGGCTAAACATTTAATATTATTTGAAGGAAAAACAGAGGCTTTCTACAAATCTCCATTAAAGTCAGATCAACTCATTTAGAAAAAAGATACGAAAAGGATTTTTGTAACTTGTTTCTCTAGGGAGTGATCTTCCATAAACCCATTTGTTCGTGTTTGTTGTCATATGCAGATGTAGGGTGAGGTTCATGAGTATATTTTAAAGAAAATCTACCACGGAAACTTACAACTTCTGGAGTGTTTTCAAATCACGTCACAGCATGGAGGAATGGTCACAGCAAGGTGTGTCCTTTCTCTATGGTTGTTGTGTATTCCTCGCAATCCTTGGTATGGCTCTCTTCTGATGTTGTTATGCCTGCACTGTGGCAGAAAGTCCTTTTACGCAATTGTTTCTATTTCCAAATACCTGCAGGGCAGGTTGGGTTATAGCGTGGGTGTTGTTGTAAGACGGTGATGAATTGAAAGTCCTAAGGTGCGTGTGAATGATCCCAAGGAAATTAAAATGTGTATCCATATTCATCGGCCATATGGCTTTCGGTCGACTTGTATGCAAAGCACTTTCTGTTTTGAATAAAAGTGCCATGTAAATACAATTGTTTTAGTTTTATTACTGGTTTTAGATCTGTTAGGCCTATGCGTTTATTTTTAATCAACCTACCCTCTAGACTTAATTTGCATAACAATTCTGATTTGCCATTTAATGTATTGCCTTAGCAGAATCTTCTTTCAAAAATTACACTTAATGAGCGTTGTTTCGATAGCGGCCCTCATGAAAAAAAGATAATCATGCTTCGTGCGAAAGTGGGTTGGAGCAATTGTAATAAATTTAAAAGCATGCAAAGCTTGACGACCTCAACAAGATGGTGCAGTTCTGCCAAAGAGCGCTTATTTCGAATGGGGAATTCATTATCATTTGGCTGAGATTGGACCTAATAACTAAACGGCACGCTTGGCATCACAAAGTATGCTCACTAAGGATCGGCGCCAAGTATTCGCGCCAAACCAGTGCACTCACAAAGTAATAAGCATCTAGGCTTATTGAAAGTCAAAAGAGATTTCCTGCCGCGCGCTTTCGCTGCATGCACTGCCAACTGTAATGATGCACAACCAGCATCTTTGCTGACTAATTTGAAACATGCTTGATAATTTGGCTTAGGCCTAAGTGAATCTGCAGTATAGAGTCTTATTAATCATCTTTGCTTTTGTGATCTAAGCGGTTATTACTCCTTCACTTCGTCTGCTTCTTTACGCATCCGTGAACTTTTGTTAACCACAAAACAACTTAATTCACAGTGGTTCTTACTTTAACTGCACAGGACTCAATATCTATGGGTAGTGAATTTGTAATGACTTCGAAATCTGCTTTAATACATACCAGTAAAATGAACACTCCGACCGATGCAGATACCATACCTTGTCCTTTTCAGCAAAATGAATCTGTATAAATGCAAACAGTATTGATATTTTTCCTTTTATTTATTTTACGATAGCTTTAAAGACTTTCCATTTGAAACGTGCACGGAAGGGATTTTACTCTATGGTGCATTGCAACCTTTCCATGCTGTGAAAATGTACCCCAGTCACACCCTGTTCTCTCTTTTAGCGGACCATTGGAGACTAAGCTCGCTCGAGGGTAAGCACTTATAAGGTTTTCTTGGTGCATAAAAGACGAGACTAAAGAGCTTTGACAAATAAGATGTACCCCTTGTCATCCGTATAACACCTCCGGGACCTTGAGGAGATTTTGAAGTCTGTTGCAATGCAGATACTTCATCGATCGACAGCCTAACTGTTGCGCATTGGCTAAAAAAAAACCAGTACAAAGTTATCCTTTTATTATCATTCGAATGCGTCATAAAAGGGAAAACATGTTTATCCCCTGCCGACTGCAATCTGAAACACACTATCTCTTCTTTCAAAATTGACAGAGATAGTTACACGTTTACTCTAAATATTCAGTGTTTAGTGTTTCGTAGGGTTGTCTCCCCCCCCCCCCCACGCCCCTCCCCTCTCGATCTCTCTCAGAGAAAGTGAGAATCCGGATTCTATCCTCATTTCATGATTTTGACAACACAGTGTATGGTTTTCATTTTACTTTATAAGTTCAAATGCAATGTCCGAAGTTGAATTTTGTAATATTTTTATAAAGTCAGCTGCTTTAGCTTCAAAGTGAAATTGATTATAGGGATTCTGACTGTAATTTAGATTCACTGAATGTTCTTTTATTGTCGCAAAGGAATTCCATAAATAACTTCACCCTCTGAAATTGTTTGCTTTGCCATATCATTTATTGATTGTTTTTTTTAAATTACTGTGAGTCGCTTATACGTTACCGCAGTTACAGAGAGTTATTTCAGCCTTTTCAGACCTTTGACAGCCTATAGTAATTATACAAATGGTGAACTACATGTATATTAGCAATTATCGGCCCAACCATAAAAACTGCGTTTCTGAGAATCTGTCTCCGCTCGTCCTTTTTGTCATATTTCTCCATTGACAACTTCCTGACTGACACCTTTCGAAAAATAAACCGTAAGAGATTATTTGGAAGGGAGATCAGTTGGAATTATCGGAGACAAAAGATACAGGTGATGTATCAGCGTTGAATTTGCATGTTGAGGACAAACATAACCATATGGTTGAGGTCACGTATAGTGGAGGTCCGTCATCTTTTTTCATGACTATTTGGCATGCATATTAAATGGATATACCTTCTGGGCGAGATGTTCAGTGGTTAACTTTGTTATTAATCCTTTAGGTCAGTTGATCAAATTCCACGTACATCTGGAGATTCTCATTACGACTGTTTTGATTAAATAGTTCTCAGATGGCCAAATATCAATAAAGGCTTACCTCTATATAGGCTCTAAACTAGATCACTCATGCCATTTAAACGTTAAGGAGTATAATTTGCCAACATTACCTATAAAACGTTGAGAGTAAAAGAATCTTCCACTATCCACATTATTATTTTATAAACATTTACACGCACAGCACTATATTCGCTGTATATAAGTGGAAAACTACAACTTACGAAAAGAGACTGACATTATAAATTGCACAAAAACAACATGTTCTAATTAGACTTTCTACTTTGGCCGAGTTAATGAGTAAAGCAGAGTT